CACCGATGTAGGTTGAGATAAAAACCAAGCAGTTTCAGTCGGTAGCCAGACCGGCTATGGAGAAAGAACGACAGAAGAGGCTGCGATACCCGGGAAACACCAGGCAGAGGGAAGAGAGACCTATGTGACTCCTTTATCTCTAATCTAGAGAACAGCTGTTTGCTGATAATATTAGTGTTCCTAAATCTCATTATAACATTTATATGAAAAGAAGGATCATTTTAAGTCTGAACAACAGCGTTTATTGGACTTCAGGTGTAAGGTTTTTGCAGGATGCTCCGTTACATTTCATGTCCATTTTTCCGTGGATTAATTTGCCCTTCCTCTTAGATAGGTTTTTTCTCCCTATTACATTAGCAAAATTACAACTGGATGAAATCATGAAACAGCTCGCCTTGATGAAGGCCAGCCATGAATAATCCCGGCGGCTCTTTGATATTTGATGTTCGCGGTTGTTACTAGCCTCGTCTGCCTCCAAAACTCGGGCTCTCTGCTGAAAAAATGGACGGCTGCCATGCGAGTGGCATTAAACTCATCCCCCTGTAAGTCGATAATAATAATAATATAATAATATAATGATAATATCATGAAAGTAAAAAACATTGAATAATGTGTGGCTCGATGTTTCCATTTGGCCCCGATAAGCTTCAAGGAAGTCTCTGCAAGCCACACCTCAGCGTGTCGTAAGCATGGAAAAAGCGTGTGAGCCGTGCGGCGTGTTGATGGTGGAAACGGTTCATCAGTGTTACGGGCTGCCCAGCGGCGAACAGAAACTGATGTGAAGCTGGAGGTTGTTTTGGTAAATGAATCAAGTCCGCTGTTCTGGAAAGAAGTGCGGAAATGATAAGATATAAAATCCGATTAATGTTGTTCCAACGGATGAAAAATATGCATAAACAAAGTTGGTAAAGCAGAAAGCAGTGAAAGCCAAGACACCGAGGTTAACACTGAAAAGAGTTTTTTAAATGTTCAAGAGGAGAAAAGAGTTGTTACAGATGAGTCCCAGCACGAACATGCAAAGTGTCAGCAATAATAAAGCAATGTCTCTGTGTAGTGTCGAGTTCTGTCTCCTGTCCTGTTTGTCTAATTAGTAATTCCAAACCACGTTTTCTCCAAATGTGGTTTGAATTTCCCCCGATTAAATTTAATTTCATTTGCTTAATTTGTAAGAATATGGAGCCTAAAGACTTATTTTACTTTCGCTAAGTATCTTTCATGAATTAATAAAGATTAACTTTATTTCCAAAATGTCATGTATGTTCCAATGTTCCATCCATAAAACATTTTCTTTTTCCTTGTGATGAACAGCTTGAGAACTTTACATTAGCAGTATCGATATTAATCTTCTTCCGCAGACGATGAAGTTCAGGTTCTGACCCGTTGGGAATGAAGTTCACCCAAATGCACACGTGGTAAAATATGAGCGCGAGTGTGATGAAGACTCAGAGGACCGTCTGGTGACGGAAATGTTTCTAATACCGGCCCTCGTTTTCCACGCCAATAGCAAGGGGGCTGCTTTCGACAGCCGCAATGTTCCGTATATTTATGTCTGTTTAAAAAAACAAACCAATTTCGCCCTAAGGGATCGATATTAAAGTATATCTTCTTCTTTTTCCTTCTTCCTCTATCTCTTCTTCATTCTTCTTCTCTTCTTCTTCTTCTTTAGCGAGCCTACTAATTTCACACAATGTAACAAAATTGGAACTCTGGGTACCTGGTCCACATGGAGTCCAGATAGGGAGGCGAGCTATGGCATGAGCACGTGTCCGAGTGAGTTATGATTGGGCCTTATGTGACTACCAAGAGTGATCGCCATGTGGTATGTGATAGATTGTTGTGAGTGTGTGGAGGTGGTGTGCGTGGGTCCCACCTCCATGAGAACGAGTCCCAGCAGAAAAATGAACAAAAACCAAAAACCAATGACGCTGAGGGAGTTGATTTAAAATGTAACGTGGCCATCTCAATACTCCGATAGGTATCGTTTGAATTGGTCTCCGCCAAGTTGGAAACCCTGAGAAATAGAACCCTGTTAATTTCTCACTTATTTTGACAAATTTTAAATGTTCTGTATATTATTGATACGTGTCCCCTCCCAAAACTTTAGTGTTAATATTTGTATTCGAATTAGAATCAAGTTGACTTTTCTTCATCCAAAATGATGGTTTTTAACGCCTCCCCTCATGACACCACTTGCTAATGCATCCTTACCCCTTTTTTGTCTACTTTGAAGAGGGCGAATCGTATTCTATCGTGCACAGAGTTAAGTCAGACAAAAAATTACTTAGCCAAATGAGAGAGGACAAGGGAAGCCCTAAAAAGCTAAAGTCCTAAATTAAAGCCATGTTCCGTTTGGACTGTTTAGGGAAATGAGTTCATACTTTTGTTGAAAATAGACTTGCCAACACAGGCAGAGGGAGAGAGACACCATGTGACTCTTTATCTCTATCTAGAGAACAGCTGTTTGCTGATATATTAATGTTCTAAATCTCATATATAACATTTATGAAAAGAAGATCATTTTAAGTCTGAACACAGCGTTTTATTGACTTCAGGTGTAAGTTTTTGCAGGATGCTCGTTACATTTCATGTCATTTTCTGTGGATTAATTTCCTTCCTCTTGATAGCTTTTTCCTCTATTACATTACAAAATTACACTGGATGAATCATGAAAACAGCTCCCTTGATGAAAGGCAGCCATGAATAATCCCCGCGGCTCTTTGATATTTGATGTTCCGGTTGTTACTGCCTCGTCTGCTCCAAACTCGCTCTCTGCTGGAAAATGGACGCTGCCATGCGAGATGGCATTAAACGCATCCCCTGTAATGATAATAATAATAATAATAATAATAATAATAATATCATAAGATGATAATGTGTGGCTCTGTTTCCATTTGGCCGATAAGCTTCAGGAGTCTCTTCACACACTCAGCTGTGTCTGATGGAAAAGCGTGTGAGCCGTGTCGCGTGTTGATGGTGGAAACAGTGTCATCAGTGTTAACGGCGCTCAGCGGAACAGAAACTGATGTGACCTGGAGGTTGTTTTGGAAATGAAATCAAGTCGCTGTTCTGGAAAGAAGTGCGGAAATGATAATAATAAAATCCGATTATGTTGTTCAAGGATGAAAAATATGCATAAACAAAGTTGGTAAAGCAGAAACAGTGAAGCCAAGACACCGAGGTTAAACTGAAAAGAGTTTTTTAAATGTTCGAGGAGAAAAGAGTTGTTACAGATGAGTCAGACGAAACATGCAAAGTGTCACAATAATAAACAATGTCTCTGTTAGTGTGATTCTGTCTCCTGTCCTGTTTCTAATTATAATTCCAAACACGTTTTCTCCAAATGTGTTTAATTTCCCCAATTAAATTTAATTCTTTGCTTAATTGTCAAGAATAACTTAAGACTTATTTTACTTTCTATATCTTTCATGAATTAATAAAGATTTATACTTTATTCAAAATGTCATGTCAATGTTCATCATAAAACATTTTCTTTTTCTTGTGATGACAGCTGAGAACTTTACATTACAGTATCGATATTTCTTCTTCGCAGACGATGAAGGTTCAGGTTCTGACGTTGGGAAGAAGTTCACCAAATGCAGCACGTGTAAATATGGAGCCGAGTGTGATGAAGACTCAGAGGACGTCTGGTGAGGAAATGTTTCTAATACCGGACCTCGTTTCCACCAAGCAGGGGGCTGCTTCGGAGCCAGTCAGCTATGTATTTATTAGCTGTTTAAAAAACAAAACAATTTCCCCTAGGGGTCCGAGTATTAAAAGTATTCTTCTTCTTTTTCTTTCTTCTTCTCTTACTTTTCTTCTTCTTCTTCTTCTTTAGCGAGCTACTAACTTCTCACATCAATGTAACAAAATTGGAACTTGGTCTGGTCCAACATAGAGTCAGAATAGGACCAGCTATGGTCATACAGTTGGTTATGATATGGGCCTTATGTGACTACCAGATGTGGTCCACATGTGGTATGTGATACATTGTTGTATTTGTGGAGGTGGGCTGCGTGGGTCCACTCAGAGAAGCGAGTCCCAGAAAAATGAACAAAAAACCAAAACCATTCCTGAGGAGTGATTTTACAAATGTACGAGTGCATCTCAATACCTCAGTATGTTTGAATTTGGTCTCCCAATTGGGAAAACCCTGAAATAAACACCTGTTATTTAGTTATTGTTAGACAATTTTAAAATGTTCTGTATATTTTGAATATGTCCCAACTTTAGTTTATATTTGTATTCAATTAGAATCAGTTGATTTCTTCATCAAAATGATGTTAACCTCCCTAACACACTTTGCTCTGCTGCACTTACCTTTTATTGGTCTATTTGAGAGCGAAATCTATTTATCTGCACAAGTTAAAGTCAGACAAATTACTTACAAATAGAGAGGAAAGGAGCCTAAAAAGCTAAAGTCTAAATTAAACATGTTCCGTTGGACTTTAGGGAAAGAGGTTCCCCATACTTTGTTGAAAATAGACTG